ACCTCGGGGAGGACGGCTCGGTAGCGGAGCTTGAGCAGTCCTTGACAAGTCGGGGTATCCGAGGAAGAGAGAGAGAGATAGAGAGAGAGAGAGAGAGAGAGAGAGAGAACTAAAAAATGATGAAATGAAAATAAAGAGAAAACGGGAAGAAGAAAGGATAGATGAGAGAGAAAGAGGGGAAATTTTAATTAAATAGCCAAATTGTTTTGGGGCCCCTTACGGATTTTTAGTTTGTATGTGGGTCCAAAGATAAAAAGAAATGGAAATATTCATAAGGACCCTGTTGTTCAGTAAACTACAACCAAACCCAGAAAATTCAGACTTAATTAGAAATTAAGCTGGGTAAATTGTTAAGATTAGAAAAGAAGCCTACAAGAAACCTATTTATAGATGTTACTTATTAGTGATTATATTTGAATTTATTTGGCTCTAAATTATGAATTGATTTACCTATAATTGACATTAGTTTTATATATTCACATTATAGATTCTGGTTGATATCCAGGAGAATAATAGTTTGAGAAAGTCGTGACCACTAGAGGTGAGTTCATTTCTCACTAGTATTTTATAATGTGAAAATGCATGAGTATTATATTTTATTTATCTTGTAATCGAAAAATAAATAATATATCATTTTCATATATTTAAAGTTAAAATGTGACTTGGTCTACTTCTGTTGTGGCCTAAGCCATAAATACGATGTTGATTTCGTACAAGATATGAAAAATCAATTTGATTTTATATGAACTATGAAAAGTGAATTTGGTTCTTATGCAATTTCAAATAATTTTGAGCATTGCTTTATCTGAAAGCTTTGGAAGAAGTATTTGAACGTGTTTCAACAGTTTAACGGATTCAAAGATTTTTTGTGACTTAGTATCTGATAAAAATAAAGAAAAGTGAAATCCGTAAATTGTTTTAACTACGATGAGGAGTTTTACCCTTTTTCACTTTATTTGAAAATATCTATAAATTCTAATGCGCAAGGTGTTACTCATTTGACAAGTGATCCTCGATATTTTCAAACCCTCAAAAAATCCACTATGGAGTGATTCTGGCTGCCATATGGTGAATACATAGGGGTGTCCAAAAAGCCCGTCGGCCCGGGCCCAAATCCACTATGGAGTGATTCTGGCTGCTATATGGTGAATACATAGGGGTGTCCAAAAAGCCCGTCGGCCCGGGCCCAAATCCACTATGGAGTGATTCTGGCTGCTATATGGTGAATACATAGGGGTGTCCAAAAAGCCTGTCGGCCCGAGACACTATGGTGTCCAAAAAGCCTGTCGGCCCAGGGCCCGGCCCGGCGCTCGGCCCGAAAAAACCCGCGGCCAAGTCGGGGCTTCCGAAGCGCGCTCGCGGCCGCCTTTTATTGCGTGCCCGACCCTGCCCGGGAATAGTGTTTTTTTTTTAATTTATATATTATTATATGTACTAATATATGTTATAATAATATATTTTTAATATAGGTATAATATATGTATATTAAATATATTTTATATATGTATAATATGTGTGTGTATATATACTCTCTCTTATATAGTATAATGTGATGTATGTAATGGTATGTATATACTCTTCTTATACTATACATGTATAATAAGTATACTCTCTCTTATATATGATATAGTCTCATCTCTATAATAAATATATAAGTATAACACTCTACTTCATATATGTAATATATGTGTGTATAGTATCATATATACTCTTCTCTCTCGAGTATATATGGTATATATAAAGTATACTCTCTCTTATATATGTATAATATGTTGTGTGTCGTGTGTGTGTGTGTGTGTGTGTGTAACTCTCTCTCTTAAGTAATATGTATATATAAGTATACTATACTCTTATAATAAGTATTATATAGTATACACCTCTTATATATGTATAATATGTATACTCCCTCTTTAAAGGATACTCTCTCTTATATATGTATACTCGCCGTCTTATATAAGTATACTCTCCTCTTATATATGTATAATATGCTGTGTGTATTACTCCCTTATATATAAGTATAGTATATTACAACGGCTACTTCTTCCCCATGCCCAACGGGCAATGGCTACTATGCGATTTTCTTTCTCAAATTAAACCTATAAATATATACCAATATATTATACATATATAATGTATATATTTTTATCAAAAAAAAAGAAAAGAAAAAAAATTGAAAAAAATCCGGGCCGACCCGGAGCCCGGCCCGGTTGGGCCCGGGTCCGGGTCCGGGCTCCGGTTTTGCCCGGCCCGGGCCCGGATTTCCGGGCCGGGCCGGGCCGGGCCGGCCCGGATGGACAGGCCTATGAATACACCTGTTTTTGGCCCTTTCTGTATTGGCCTTTCTGTATTGGATCTTCTGAAATTTGTTCTGGCTCGTCTGTATTTGGCCAGTAACATATGGCAGTGCTAGGTGCATTCGATTCCCGGGAATTATCCGTTATGTGATGTGTTCTACGCATTCCCATGCTACTGGGCTATAATTCATACCCTTAGTGTGACCTATGAGGTAACTTTTACATTCATGAATAACTCATTGAGAATTAAGATTCTGACAATTGACTGTGAAATTGAGAAAATAATAATCCTCTGGTTTTGTACAAATTAGTTGTTATTTTCTTTCTTACTGTTTACCTTGATTCAAAAAGGATTTGATTCTAGGAAATGTCACGGTATATTCAGTTGCGCATAAGAAAGAAAATATAATTGTTACATTCTTTCTTAAAGACGATAATATTATGAAATTTAGAGCGTATTTTGCTATTTTTTGAATTTCTGATGCAAAATTTATAGTTCGTTATTTCTGGGGACTATTCTTATTATTATTTTGTTAATTATCTAAGAATAGTGGGAAATGTTCTCACTGAGCTCTAGCTCACCCTGTTGTTTTTAAAAAAAATTCAGATCTGGTGTAGCGTCATAGTAGCCGAACTTTTGGTTATGGTGTGTTGTTGAGAGGCGATATATATAAAGCCTCCTTTTTGGATGTCACATACAATCAACAGTGTGCTTTATTTCGTAAAATGCTTATAACGGTGAGCTTGTGGGTGTAAGTACTGATTATATACATATATATAGTTACTCTGAACATCTATCATCAGCAGGTTTATGAATATTTTGTGATAAACTATGTGATATGAAGTGTCAGGTTTGGCTCGTGCATAAGAATTGTCTTGTGCATGGGTCGCTGCTATCGCGTAACCCGTATTTATGAATTTCCGCTATATTGGTAGCATATTCTGCTAGAGCGCTAGTTTTTTGAGTGATATAGTAAGCAAGTACTTGCATGTTTCATTAATAAGAATTTATCGAAACAATGTTAAAGTATACAATTCGGTTTCTACATTGAGAAGCTATAAAAGAAACGAAATAATAACATTTCGAAGTTGTTGGGATAATTTTATCTATAACCATGTGTGGGGGGCTCAACACATTGGGTCTACTGAAAATATGATGATGGATATAACATAGTCAAATTGATTCAGGGCATTGGGTGTATTGAAAATATGATGATAGATATAACTCGGTCAAATTGATTCAACCACATGAGTTAGGTTAAGACTTAAATCATATGAGGACTTGAGTGGTTATAAGAAAGAGTGACTGACGTATCGCTTTTTTCACGTATAGTTTGCAGTGGTAACAAGTCAAGCAGCCGAAGATAAGCCCAAGTCCATCGGAACAAAGTCTTGCCCAACCAACACTCCCATGCCAAGTGCTATCAAAGCCCCTATTAAAAGTTGTTGTGAAATGCAACATTATTACATCAGTGTTCAGCAAAGGTTCCTCATACATTGTCCAGATATCATCTAGATGCTTCCAAGTTCAAAAGTTATCGATGGGATTCCATAATATTATTTCCGTCGTCGGCATACATCTTTGTTACAAACTTTCACTAGATCTTCCTGACAGGACAGGATATATAAACTCGTGTTTCGCTATTTTTCTTCTCTAAAACGTCAGGATTAAAAAAATAATTAGTCAAATTACAATTTTGTCTGGCAGCATCACTTGCTCATCAGCAAGAGTTAAAAGGATCCTGGAATAATGAACAAGTTAATCCAAATAATCTGCACTGATAACTTTAAAACGTAAGGGACACCGCTGGACTTTTTGCCTTAACCTACTGATACTTCAACTTGATAACAGAGGGATATGTGGACGAGAAATCTAATGCCGCTGATAAGGGCACGGACTTCCACATTGGCCATGGTAGCGTCAGCGTCAACTCCGGAAAGGGCCCGATGGTCAGTGTCGACCACGGCAATGCTGGAGTCCACAACAGCAACGGCACCAACGTCAACGTCGGCCATGCATGGTGGCGTCCGAACAAACGTCGGCCACTTACTTTGTCAAGAAGAAGGACTTGAAGCCGAGCACCAAAATGGCACTCCATTTCACTCCGACCACTACAGGCTCCACCTACAACTCGCGGCGGGCGGCCAACTCCATCCCCCTTCACCTCCGCTGACCTTTCTCAAATCCTCAACCACTTCTCCGTCGAGCATAACTCCGTCAAAGCTGAGGAAATGGAAAACACTCTTTTGGAGTGCGAAGAACCATCCATCAACGGAGAAACCAAACATTGTGCAACGTCAATCGAGTCCATGGTCGAATTCACCACCACAATCCTCAACACTCTGCAACATCGAATTCACCACCACAATCCTCAACACTCTGCAACATCGGTGACTATTGACGAGAAAAACTCGCCGAAGCAAAAGTACACGATAAAACCGACTAAAATGTTGGGGTTGAATTTGGTAGTTTGTCACGCTCAGACTTATGCATATGTGGTGTTTTACTGCCACATGATTAATGCGACTGAGGCGTACCAAGTGTCAATGATCGGAGAAGACGGGGCAAAGGCGGAGGCGATCTGCCATGCGGATTCCGGAGGTTGGAACCCGAAACATGTTGCTTTCCGGGTTCTGGGAGTGAAACCCGGAAGTGTGCCCGTTTGCCATTTCTTGCCGCAGGATCATGTTGCTTGGAGCCGCAAGAAGTAGAGAGGGTCTAGCTTTTGGGTATGGAACTTTGGTGTTCTGTTGGATTTGTTTGCTATGTATACAGTAAATATTTGGACGGGCAATTCAAGTAAGTGTCATGATGGATTTCGAGGGAGCTATTTCTCAACTGTCGCCATGTTTTCAGATAACAGAACACCTTTACTCAGCTATACGATCCGATTGGCAGTTCAACTTCTTTATCTGACAGAACCTGACAATAGCTGAGATTGGCATATATTGTAGCTCCAACGCGATAGCCTAATCACAATGAGTCCACTCACATGCCTCAGATGAAATCTATCATACTTATAATTGGTGAGCTTGTTTTATGGCTCTGGCATAATACAACAGCACTCCACGAGTATATTGTGATGTGAAATAATCCTCAAGGAACAAATCTGGAAGCAGCTTGAAGTGGCCAAAAAGCCAAGTTTCATTATGACTGGACGTGATATACTCATCAAGTTAACTATATTCTTAATACATGTTTACTAGAAAAATATTTTCAAAAGCATACAAGAATGAACGAATTTACCTTGACGTACAAAGATTAGATAGTTCATGGTGTAGCACTGCGATCCTTCAGGCATAAGTAAGGTAACCATGTTATGAAGCCTCACTGAAATCCGCAGTCTGTATAGATCTGCTAGTGAGAAAACTATAATGAAAGCCAAAAGATATTCTAGGACCTCATTATTAGGAATCCAAACACTTACCACAGATTTCATTTCACCAAGATAATTCTTAACACATGCAGCGCACTTAGGAAAAAAAAGATTTAAGTTTCCAGGCAGAAAGTTTCTGATGAACCCCAGGTCTTTCCAACCTTCATTTTGACACGTAAAGGAACTGGAAAAGGGAAAATACCAACATTTCAATTTTCAGGTTTCAATTGTGCAACAAAGGAAGCGCTTATAACTGAGTAAAGATGATACCCAGAAGTGACACAGCATTCTCCATGCTCATTTGCAGCAATAATGATGCTTCCTTCACTAAGCCAGCCTCAACCTCCAGCACTAACTCATCATGTACCTGAAAAATAGTCAGGTAAATGGCCTACATTAGTGGAGTTCAAATATTCACAAAATAAGGAGTTCCATCAAATTTCCCGATATATCAGATAACACTTCAGCATCATAAAATCAGCAAAAATAGTGCCATATTGTATTTTGGATTAACATTTGTTTAAGAAGATCGGGTTTGAGTTTAGTGCCCAATTAGGTCCTAATCCTAGACCTAAACCTGATATACTTTTTATAGAAATCTCTAGGAAATTAGAGCTCAATTAGCCCCAGTGTTTTGCCTCATCCTTTTGGAGTCCAGAATCTCTTCACCCTTGACTGTTTATCACCCTTTCACCCTCGACTGTATGTTGCTGCAGGTAAGCCCCTCTCCATATTCACCTGTCCCTTTCTCGACTCCTCTTATTGTATCTCCCCTAACCTCTTTGTCCCTGAACATATCTTAGATGATTTAAAATTTTCATGTGTTAAGATTTCGTTGGGGCATCCATGATGTATATAATATATATCCTATTCACTATGACATATCTTAGTTAGACGATGAATCTACTACTGATGATTACCTGCAAAAGTATTCGACAATGTCCTTTAAGCATGGAAAATCTTGCTGCAAGCTCAGCATCCATGTCACTTAACTCACTTCCTTCAGTGACAACTGTGTGAATCCTTATCATAGCAACTTTAATTATATCAGCAGCCGAACCCTAAAAGGCAAATCGTAGATAGAGATTGAGACTAATAAAGCCAAAATCCCAAACCATAAACCCAAATGCAATTCATTTTACCTGACATATTGAGTTCACAGCTTGTCTCTGAGCTTTAGCCTTCTCACTATGATCTCCAAACTTTATTTTTGATAGAAATCGCTTTCTACCCATCAGGGTTTCAATGTATCTGACCAGTAGAAACATCTGAATGCAATCAGCTCATGAAAGCCACATATGACATGCTAAAGACGCTTAATTTATAATAACAATTACAGCAAATGCTGATGACATCAACATACTGGAGGTATCAGTGTTAAGATAATAAGAAATTTTAATCAATAAATATATATATGAAAGAATTATGCTCAAACAGTCATAAAAATATTTAAAAGATGCCAGAATCACAACTCCAGAGAATAAAAATTAAGAAGAGGGAAATGATTGAAATGTAAAAGTGATAGAGAATAACCCCCCGCATTGCAATGCCTAATAATGAAAATTCGGGATAGGCAACACGGATCAACCAATTTTCATTATTAGGCATTGCAATGCCTGTCCTATTCATCTGGGCCTAGACTGTGAAAGGTGGGCCCCAGGCTCTGGCATTTACTTGGCTTGTACTATCAAGCTTGGGACAATGGGTTGGGTTTGAATCTCTCCTCAGAAACCCCCACAGGTGATGTTCCAAGGTTTTAGGTCAGGAGTATTATCCATGAGCTCCCCTATGGTTTCCATAATTGGCCGAATTGATGGGTCAAACTTGGGGCTTCTCCCTGATACCTGAAAGTCCCAACCAAGGTTTCTCGCTACAAAAAAATGTGATAGAGAATACCTGACATCTAAATATGATAAAGAAAATGGGGATGGGCATTTTATGGCTATGCGTTGCAAGCAAATGAATGTTAACTACTTAACTGTTCACTGTCAAATGGTGAAGAACAGTATTGAGAAATAAATAGACAACAAAAGTACTAGAAGTTGGGGGGAGGGGGGGGGAATAGTTTTACATTTTTCTTTGCATATTAAGTTCTCCCATGCAAAATATTTCAATCAATGTACTTGTCATAAAAGTGAGGTTGCAAGAGATACGTAAAGTGAGCTTACAGGTTATTTGGATCAAAACTGAAAAAAGATGTCACTTACATGATTGATTAAAATATATATAACTATAAAAACTCTAAGCAAGACTCGGAAATTGATGGGGGAAAACAAGCATCGATTCAAACAGCTTTTTCTGGTAAAAAGATCCCCAATATTTAGTTAATAGGTAACAACCAACTAGAGTTTCCTTCTTCAAAAGAAGAGTGAAAGAAAAATAAACTAGAAGTAGGTTTCAATTTGGCAATTGTTTCATTTGTTTTCAGTATATCAATGGTTAATTCCTGCATGATGGGTTCATGGGCATCTCACCAGGAAGACTTCTGATAGCACTTGTTATCGAAACACGGGTCGTCACTTTAATCACGTTTTATATGATTTGGTGTGAAGTTGCCAACTATTTAAGCACAAGCAGGCGCACAAGAACCAGGCCGAAACATTTTTAAAAGAAGAAATAAAACATTTCACAAGTTATCTGCGAAACACCAGCAAACGCAGCAGCGATATGAACTGCCATGGAGAAACTATTGCTTGGCATCATAATTGCTCTCACAGAACTTATAAGCTCCCCTGCAAAGCATAACTTGTATTGTGTATCCCGTGTAGTGCATTACGTAAACATCTTACTCAGGTTTAGTTGTCAATATAGAATTCAAAGAAAATCTAGACAATTTATATACCATGAAAGAAAACTTGTAAAAAAATCTACTAATGTAACTTTAGTGGTACTCTCAAATGCACAATAAATGTATAAACAATTGGTTAGATGGGACCGAAGAGTATCCCTTTGATTCAGGAATAGACTTAATGTTAGGTCACAATCAACTGAATCAAGTCATATGCATAAATCCATTATATGTCTTATAATAATGACAGAGAATATGTATTGCTATAACTGTATTTAAGTTAAAATTTAAGACTAAGCATGAACGTTAAGTTTCTCGTCTAACGTGATACAGAGAATAATAAAAGAAATAGAAAATTGTGTAATGGATTATATATTGCACAAAGCCTCAGTCATTTGTTTTTTTTAGTTGGTCCCCACCTATTTTACCCAATCAAGTTCACATGCAAGTGAAATTGTTATATCCACATCCCGGCACTAGCATGAAAATTAAATATCTAGGTATCTAGATAAAGTAGCTAAGCATAAAACAGGATCATATAACATGACATCTACATATTCACAGACATAAAAGTATGAGAAAATAAGATTTTTGCAACAAGAAAAGCAGTATAAAATATGCACTAAGCGTGAAGCTTGACTTACCCCTTATGGCAGCAAGTAGCAACAGCCTCACGCAGCCATGCAGAAACGCCAGGGAAAGAAGTTTTAAAATTTTGAATCTTTCTTGCAGCTTCTTCAGAGCTGCATTCTAGTTGTTCAGCAAGGGACTTTGCGCCCATTCCATACAGAATGCCGTATACTAATCTTTTTGCCTGATCCCTCTCATAAGAACTAATTGTTGACACAAGCTTACCGGTCCATTTAGCAGCTATCATGGTAAAACAATCACCATCTGGCTTGCTAAGAAGTTCAATTAGTGAAGAATCTTTGGAAAAATGAGCCATCAAGCGCAGTTCTATCTGAGAGTAGTCAGCAGTGAGCAGTAACCAATTTTCCTGCCACCCAATTCCAGGAAGTAATGCATTTTCAATAGAATTATTTGGTAAAAGAAAGAGAGAGCATAATGCTGAAAGAACTTACTTGAGTTGGAATAAAGAAATCACGAGCATTGATTTGATGATGCTCCTTATTTCTAGAGGGTGAGTGCTCTAACTGATCAGTTGTGAAGACTACCAGATGCTCAACAGTCTGCAAAAATTGTAAAAAAATCAACTGCACAAATAGAAAATGCATATTAAAAAGATCAACACTAACATAAATAAAAAAGATACCTGAAGGTTTGGCTCCTCCATTGAAAGTCGACCAGTGGCTGTCGATGACTGAAGCCAGTGTCCTTGTACTATGTACTTTTGGGTTTTCGTACACAAACGAGCTCGTGAACAGATTGAACCCAATGTGCTGTTGAGCTTTGCCAAGGTTCTGTGCTCTCTAATAACTGAAACTATAGGATGTTGACCTCTGAAATAATAAAAGGGTGGAAATATGGCAAGCAATTAATTGAAATACCATAGCGTGAGAAATGAAAATAAAAAACCAAGTTGTATATTCATTATATGAAGAAAATTTTTGAAACGCAAGAGTTCATACTTGTCTTCCACACATAAAACACAGTGCAAAACACAAAGACAAAATTATGATAGTGAAAAATCGTATGACATGTCTTAGGTATGCAAAATAAAAACTATCTGATAAACTTATTATAAATACCAACATGGTGTTGTGTGCGTGTGTATGTGAGAGAGAGAGAGTAGAATGATACCTTAAAATATCCAAGGAATGTTTACCAGTACTAGGGTGTAGTTTCCCTTTCTTGCAATTCTGGGGTATTGGTAACATTAATTGTGTATAAAGCACATTAGCAATATCAGCAGATGTATTTAGTGAGAATGACATCCCTGCCAGAGTATGAGCTTCCTTCTCAAGCTCTTTTAACTTTTTGACTAAGATGTGCCTTGCACGAAGGCATCCTTCCATGTCAACTCCTATGCCCCAGAATTCCATGTCTGCTAGGACTTTAACCTATAGTTTTTACACAAAAAATTTAGCATGAAGCGAAATTTGCAGATTAAATCATTAGCAAAACATGATGTTTATGAAATTTTTTACACAAAAGATCATAAGAGAATATACCAAAGGATTTTCTATTTTAATTAGTGCTTCAACTAGGTTTTCAGAAATAAGTAGTTTCCACAAAAAAGAACCAAGAGCACGGGATTGTGCAACTCTGCGACAACAGCCATCATGTGCAGCCTTACGCATCTGATTTCTCCACCGGCCATTCTGATTAGCAGCTGCTGCTGCCTCACTAGATAAGCGTTTTTTGACAACCTACAAAATTTGCAATGAAGTTAGTAGAGTAATTTTTGTGACTATTCATTATAGAATTCATCAATAGCCTTAGAATGTTAACTAGAATTGTTTATTTATCGAGTAAGTACATTATTCCTACAGTAAGAACTAAGAACAATTTTTTAAGAAATTTTACCAAATTATTGATTTCCAGGACATGGAATTATGAAATCTAGCATTAAGTCATAACTTCAAACAAAAAAATTACCTTCTCAAGATTTGGACTGTATTTACTTTCCTCGTCGGGCCAAAGGATCCATGCCACCAGGCATGTATCAATTCCACCATGCACAGAGATAGGTGGTAATGAAACAAATGAACCATCTACTAGTTTCATACTATTCAACTCCGTGTGATTGACAGTCAGCCTCCCCAATCGCTGAGAAGAAATACAGGGAAATTTGAGTACCTGAATCTGACTTTTCAAATTCCATGTTACTTTCCTCACGCCATTTCGGCTCATGATTTTGGCTATCCTATTCCATCTATTTCTGGCAAAGTCCCACACCTCACAGATATTATGATCAATAGCTGAACTCTTTGAAGTAGCATGGCTTGTAGTTTGCTTTGCAGACGAGGCCAGATCCTTTGATAAATTGATGTAATATACAGGTGAATTCTCCCAACAGATAGCTAAGCCAAAAACCTCAAATAGAAACTGTGAGTTCAGTGCAGACCGATTTGAAAAATGAAGATCAAAGTAAAACTCTTTTTCAGATTCCCAGTGATCCAAAAAGGAATCAAATCCACCTGGATAATTACTTGCATTAGTAGGGCCTTGATCATTGACTTTGTTATTACTGTAGTCAGATTCATTTTGTCTCCCATTATCACTTTTCATGTAACCAAATGCAAGTTTCTTATCAAGTAATTTATCAGTAAAGCCTGCGCTTGCTTTCATACTGCAAGTTGCCTGGGAAGTTTTTTTTACAATATTATGTAAATTATCAGGAGGGAAGGTAGTTGTAGAAGATGGCGCCACAAGAGATCTATCTACGGGCGAATTACAGGTATCTCGTTCGCCTCCTACAGAGCTTACTCCTTTAGTAGCCTTTACCTTCATGCTCATAGTAAACTCTTCCCTTTTGACTTCATTTGATCTATCATTAGGCACCATATATCTTCCATTATCTGCTATGCTAGGGGCAACTTGAGGGTTCTCATCTGCTGTGTCATCACCTCGTGGAGGTGAGTCCCCAGCGGCACCAGCAAGTAAAGGTCGTGACATCTTAGGTATCTCAACTCCAAGGGACTTAAACGCAGAAAAGGCAGCAATTCTCGCTTCTTCTGCCTGGTCAAGAACAATCTTCCGTGCACCATTTTTTATCTTTTTGGCTACTCCCATTTGTACACGTCGCATAGCTGAACCCTCTAGATAGTAGTAAATAAAATATAGTATCAGCAAGGAAACAACATATACAAACAGAGGCACAAGAAAAAAACTAAAGACAACAGTGTATGATATATCTTGATTATATATAATAATACAACTATGCCTGCATAACATCAGGGCATCAATAAAATATATGCATGGAGGATCTGCCAAATATGACACAGTTGATAAAAGAAGCAATGTTAATTTACCAAATAAATATAACTAGTTACAAATCTGTTGTTGGTGTAAGAAAAAATCAGTTCCATGGTCAACTAGATTCAGAGGTTAATGCATCTTTAACCAGATTATCTGCTTAAACCATTTAGCAAAATATGGTCCATTTTCAAATATGAAACACAAGAAGAAAGGTAGGATTGAACTCTCTGTTAAGAGAAATAATACATATTTTCAAGGTCTATTAAAAGTCAAACATGGTAAATAAAGGTCATCAAACTTTTAATGTGAATAAGAGGCACCAAGTGTAGAGAAGCAACTAATGGGAATCTGAGGTGTTTATTGTATTATGGCAAGTAAAAATAATAACAGTAAAGTAGTACATAACTTGTGACTGCAATTCAAGTTTTTAAATCTTTACAAGTTTCTAGTTTTATGAACAAAATTCACCCTACTAAGTCTTTATCTGTTCAAGGACATAATTGCAAACACAACTTCATGAATCTAGAAGTACATAGTAAAATTGAAGACATTGAATGTAATCAAAAAGGCAAAAGTTCAGTGGAAGTCCTTGATGTGTTGCCCAAATATCATTTGGGTCCTTAATATTTGGAAGTCATCAGTGTGGATCTCCAACATTCCCTCCATCATTAGCCTAGGTCCTTTTTACAAACTTCCGTTAAATCTTGCTAGCTTGTCAATGACATGGCAGGGAACAACTGTAATTTAACTATTTTTTGTTGATGTGGCAGAACAAACTTGGATTTTCACTATTTCTTGTTGACATTTCAGTGATCTGGCAGGGACATGTCATCAAGATTTAATGGAAGTTTGTAAAAAGGACGAATGATGATAACGGAGGTAATGTTAGGGGCCTCTAATGGTGGATTTCAGACATTAAGAACCCAGATGATATTTGGTCGAACATCAGAGATCTCCACTAAACTTTTGCCAGCAAAAAGTTGTTAAATACCACATATAGAGAGGTTTTTCCAATCTGAGGTGCATAAAAGACGGAGTACTAAGGAGTACAAAAAGGTTTATGTAATTATGCAAAGACTACTATATACACAACTAATACTGCAAACTAAATGCAACAGGACCCCACCACGGGTGACTCGGATGGTTGGGAGGTTCCAATATGGCTCCCACAGTCTTTGGTTTGATACAGGGTTGGGTTACCAAAAAAACGTAACAGGAGTTTGGTGGGTTGTGGATGGGTGTGTCTCGCAGGGGTTTGAAGTGGAGAGAGAAGAAAGATCTAGATGGATCATTATTTAACAAGTGAAAATTGATGCAATAATGCAACAAAAAATATGCCTCAGCAGATGACTGTA